AGAACTCCCATGCCTACCCCACCCCCCCCATTCTCCGTCCCCTGACCGCCCCCCCCCCGAACCTCCGCCCCCTCCAACCACTCCCTGCCCCTTATCCAACTCCTTGCCCCGGCCCAGCCCCCTTACCATGCTGCTCAGGGCAGTGGTTATGGATGCCGGACAGCCCGCTGGAACTCGTAGCCCCACCCCCTTATCATGCTGCTCAAAGCGGCAGGAGCTGCAGAGCTGCCCAGGAGCGGTCCAGAGCGCTGGCACCGGGCTCTGCGAGGGGGAGGGGCTGGGGGAGCCTCCCCAGCTGGGAGCTCGGGCAGGCCGGAGTTTGCCCACCCTTTAACAACCGGTTCTAAACCGGCTTCTAAATGTAACAACCGATTCGTGTGAACCACCTCCAGCTCACCACTGCCCGAAGGTCTCATACCGTTACTATTAAAGTTATTGTCAAAACTCCAGTTGACTTCAAGGGAAGAAGGATTGGGCCCTATAGCAAACTGTGTGCTGTAAAAGGTAGAAATGGGTCCAAGTCAAAACCCCAAATCCAAACAGCATTGCATAGCTGGGGAAGTTGCATTCAAACGTAGCCATTGTAACCTTTTCCAATAAAACGTTACATTTTGGCATGGAAAGGAGGTTTTGGAACTGGGAGATGATTTGCCTCTCCTGACCTTTTTGGAGCTGTGGACCAATTTCACACCTGGCATAAGTCATTGCCATCAAAGGGGTTACCGGCTTGCACCCACTTTGACGCTGGCCCTATCTTTTCCCCACTGTTCTAAACTGAATGTGTATAGTAAGAAATCCCAGCAAGCCATGTGAAAGGGGCACTGGCAAATAGTCTTGGTGCGCAAATTAGCTTTTGTTAAAAATAAATAAGTTTCTCTCACATAGGGTGGCCTGACATTTCGTACTGCGCTGAATTATTCTACCGCTGGGGCCCGAAGCTAATGGGAATCTCTCCCTTGACTGGTGGGCTTTAGATCTGGCCTTAAATGCTAAGGCTCACGATGTGGATCAAGTGCACTTCCTGAGTAAATTAGCTGTGTGCTGGCAGGGGAGGGAAAGTAGCCCTTCCAGAGTGCAGAGCAGAGCAGACTGTAGACTTAGGGTTTCATTAGCCCCTGGGGCTGCTGCACCCATATTTGTAAGATGGGGAGGGGGTGGCAAAGTTGGCTGGTAGATCTGCATAGGTGTGGGTTCACCTTTCCTTTCCCCAGCCCTGTCAGGACACAGAGAGCTGGGGAAAGGAGCTCTGCTGTATTAAGGGCCCTCAGCACTTGAAGAGAGGGGAGCAAGAATTTCACTAGATGAAAACTGACCATATTATATCCATCTTGTATGACTGTAAACCACAGTGCTCTTTAGCATATGTTTCAAATGCTGCCCCTGAGAGCTGGATTTTGCATTTAGCTCTCTGATTTAATTGAAAGGTATGTCAAATTATACGTAGCCAGCCAGTTCCTGTGCATTGATTATTCCAGCAAAAGTACAGAATAAATTACACTTAAGAAATTTGTTCCTGATCAGTTTGTATTATACAGATAGGTGGAGTATAGACGCTAAACCTCCCACTTCAGGCACAGACATTTTACAGATGTGTATTTGTCTTAGCACACTATTTGGAGAATGCCAATATCTTGGCACAGCAAAAACATTGTACAAAGGCTGCCGTCAGCCCCCAACCGATACCACAGCAGTGAGTGTGATATAAGTGCCCGGAGGGGGAGATTTTCAAAAAGTAGGAATGGGAATTAGATGTCTAACTTCCGATGATTCTCGATGATAGTTGGGTGTCTAACTCCCACTTCAGCCTTGGAAAGTCTCCTGTCTCGATCTAGAGCATGGTTCTCAACCTTTCCAGACTACTGTACCCCTTTCAGGAATCTGATTTGTGTTGCATACCCCAAGTTTCACTTCACTTAAAAATTCGGGCTTCGGCTTTAGTCACGCGTGGCAGGGCTCAGACTTCGGCTTTCTGCCCTGGGCCCCAGCAAGTCTAACGCTGGCCCTGGTGAACCCCATGAAAACAAACTCACCCACAGTTTGAGAACCACCGATATATAGAGCAATATAAACAAGTCTTTATATGAAATTTTAGTTTGTACTGACTTCACTAGTGCTTTTCATGTCACCTGTTGTAAAACTAGGCAAATATGTAGATGGGTTGATGTACCTACTGGAAGATCTATGGCGTCCCCCCCAGGGATACATGTACCCCTGGTTGAGAACCACTGATCTAGAGAATTGATTATGTTATTCCACGCTTTGGTGGAGTGCATCTGAAGCCCATTCATGTGGAGGGATTTACATGCAGAAATACCATTCATTCAGCTACTTACTGCAAATACAGCGGCAGGTATTTTTTAAAGTATGAAATCTGTTCACCGCTCATCTAAATCT